CCATCAGCCTGACCCTTGGCTATGCTGACTTGGGCTGATGGGAGCTGCGTTCAAGAGGGCGCCATGTTGGCTATCCCTAGACTAGGTGGGCTTTTCATCTGGGCCAGCAATGTTCTTCTAAAGTAGCTGTAAATCCCTTGTACAGTGGTACCTCAGGTTACAGACACTTCAGGTTACAGACTCTGCTAACTCAGAAATAGTACCTCAGGTTAAGAACTTTGCTTCAGGATGTGAACAAAAATCGTGCGGCGGCAGCGGGAGGCCCCATTAGCTAAGGTGGTACCTCAGGTTAAGAACAGTTTTAGGTTAAGAACAGACCTCCAGAACAAATTAAGTTCTTAACCCAAGGTACCACTGTATAAAGAAACCCTAGGGTAGGAGCACCATTTTAACATTCTGTGGGTCATTCCAGTATCATTCTCAGATTTCAGCAGTTGTATTCCTCAAAACCAACAGGTAACATGTTTACAAATATAGACCTTAATCCCTGAATAGCGTGTTTCCTGAGACTAATGAATAAGCCTTGTATCCTTCCCCAACAATGAGATTTAGAGACGGTAGAGGGTGTTCTTTTTTCCAAAGGCTTAAATCCTTTAAACTTAAAAAAAAAGCAAAAACATGCCTAACGTACACAATATTAAGAGGTGGTCCTGTCAGGAAGGAAAATCAATATTAATTATCACATTGTATATGAAAATAAAAATGTGACAAAAAGCTTCAGCACAACAACGTCGCCTTTTCGTTCATGTTTTATTGATTAATCTGACAGTCTGTGGGTTGCAAAGCCTGTTTTCTTCCCTCGCCTCGCCTTACCGTCAATTTCAGGTAACCTTGTTCGAGCCGCAATTGCTTTGCGCTGCAAATGACTGCCGTGCCTCTTTGCTGACACAAATCCAACAAAGGTCCCCAAAACATTGCTTCACACGCCATTCTCTCCGCTCGCTTGGCTGAACTGAATGGGAAATGGCAAACGTCTAACACAGGGTAAATAATTCCGTAAGGTTGGAGGAAAAGCACTCCGTGAATAACTTGAACAGAAGGCCTTGTTTTAAGCAGAGACCTAGCTGAGGTATAATACCTGCTAAGGCTAATAGAGGAAATTTCAGATGAAATGTTTTCTAGTCAGAAAAGGTTATTATTGTCAAAGGTGGTAAGAGTACAAGGGTTATTAGGGGAGAAATAAAAGCTTGGCAAGAGGTCTAATGGGATTCTTGTTCAGGGTTCTTTTGGGCTTATGAAATGATGCAGGACCTGTCAGGGAAAGCAGCAAGCTGAGCTGGAGGGAGCTGGAATTTAGTTCACTGGTACTCATCCATAAAATATTGGAATGCTCTCTACCTCTGAGAGAAGATGTGCATTACTAATTTAAAACCAGTTTGGAAACAGTTTAATCCTGGTGTCCTTCTTTAGAAATTCCACACGAGTTACAAATTTGTGAGAATTCTTCATAAAAAGATCCATAGCCCCATAAAAACATAAGGAGAGTCTGCTGGATGAGGCCAATAGCCCATTTAGTACAGCATGCTGTTCTCACAGTGGCTAGCTGGATGCAAATAGGACCAGAGCACATGAGTACTTTCCCCTTCCTACGGTTTTATTTATTCAAAATGTTTTTAGGCCACTTTTCCGAGCAACTGCTCTTCCCAAGCAGCTTGCAATAAAAACAACACCACAAGATGAAAAGAACAGTAATACAAAAATGTAAACAAAAACAAAAACATCTACCACTCAACAGCACACCCCATAATCAATCAATTTTACAGAGGTACTCTCACGGTCTGGTTCACGGGCGATCAAAGTCCTGGCTGGGGACGTTGGGACCGGGGGCAAGATAGCGGGGTGGGAGCAGGAACGGGAGTCCAGAAGCCAGGAGTCAGAAAGCCAAGGGTCCGAGGGTCAGAAAGCAAGGAGTCACGAAGTCAAGGGTCCGAGGATCAAGAAGCAAGGAGTCATGAAGTCAGGGGTCCGAGGATCAAGAAGCAAGGAGTCACGAAGTCAGGGGTCCGAGGGTCAAGAAGCAAGGAGTCATGAAGTCAATGGTCCGAGGATCAAGAAGCAAGGAGTCATGAAGTCAAGGGTCCAAGGATCAAAAAGCAAGGAGTCATGAAGTCAAGGGTCCAAGGATCAAGAAGCAAGGAGACACGAAGTCAGGGGTCTGAGGGTCAAGAAGCAAGGAGACACGAAGTCAGGGGTCCAAGGGTCAAGAAGCAAGGAGACACGAAGTCAGGGGTCCGAGGATCAAGAAGCAAGGAGTCATGAAGTCAAGGGTCCAAGGATCAAGAAGCAAGGAGTCATGAAGTCAAGGGTCCAAGGATCAAGAAGCAAGCAGTCACGAAGTCAGGGGTCCGAGGGTCAAGAAGCAAGGAGACACGAAGTCAGGGGTCTGAGGGTCAAGAAGCAAGGAGTTACGAAGTCAGGGGTCCGAGGGTCAAGAAGCAAGGAGTCACGAAATCAAGGGTCCAAGGATCAAGAAGCAAGGAGTCACGAAGTCGGGGGTCTGAGGATCAAGAAGCAAGGAGTCAAACGCAGCAAGTCAGGGAACGTGTTGCTGTGGCAAAGAGCCGAAGGGAAAATGCTGACCTTATACTGTATCCCTTCCCGGCTCTTGCCACCAGGTGCTGTGAGTTACCAATCGGCCTCCCCTGTGTGGCCGCGCCTTGCCTCTTCGGAACAAACTTAGGAAGGCCCCAGTCCTGCAGAGTCCTATTAGTCACAGGGCCAGGCTCCTGCACACACATCTGACAGGTGGAAAGAATACAATTCAGTTAGACAGAACATTGTCCTCACAAACAGAATGCGAGTGCAAGAGCTGAGTTCTCCTTTCTTTGGATTCCCAGCAACTGGTCCCTAGAGCTGCAGATCCTTCTTTCAGAGGTTTACCTCCAAGAAGACTTCAGGAGAAAGAAGTGAGTGGAGGGGAAGGGAAGGAGGAAAATGGAAGGAAGGAAGGTGCTAGGTTGTTTGCATCCAAGCCTGCTTTGCTCTCATTGCCAGGAGCAAGATGCAAACACAGTGCCTGGTCCTGTGCTTTGTTGATGCTTTCAGCCCCATCTGTCTCCAAGTGACCACTGTGAGACGGGGCCCAAAGATGAACTTGTAAACCAGGCCAAGAGAACAATGATCTTCAGTGCAAACCTGGGGCAGGGAAGGAGGAGGGATGCTCCGAGAATCCTGGTGTTTATGGCCAATTTTTAGTGACCCCAAAGGCACGTGAATTCCAAAGCCTGCTTTATGAAAGTACAACATGTGGGCAACACATGCAGGGAGAAGGGTTTCGTTTTTGCTCTTTTCAGCAGCGAGCGTGGAGAAGAATGGATGTTTCCTTTCACCATCTTGCTGGCAAGGAGTATTCCCTGCCTGCCTCCTCTTTAGCAAGCATCCCAAATTGAGAAGGCCTGTCTGTTTCTGAGATTACAGTCCATGGGGGCTTGTAATTTAGAGTGTGCATACAAATCATATTCATGGAGAAGGGGGTGAGCTACAATCGAAGGTGGTTACCATCTTTATTTTCTTTCAAGCACATGTGCAGAGGTATTTTTACAACCTCTTTTATTCACAAGCTGCAGAGGTTCAGGCCTCGGCAGTACACATTTTCCAGCTATTGGTTCTGCTGCCCCCAGTTTCTGGAAGGCGGGGAGGGGTTTATTTTAAAGTAGTATTAACAGGGTCCCCCCCCCCTTGAAATAAAATATGTTCCATATTGAATGTAGCTTTGGAAAGGAATTTTAGACCCCGCAGGGAGGGATCTGGAAGGGATCTACCAAACGATATAGAGGCATAGAGAAGTGTGCTCGAAAGCGATGCTCTGTGAGGATTTCACAAGACTTTCCTGCAGAAATAAAATACTTTCCGTTTTGAAACCCTGGGGGGGGTGCATGTGCACCAATTCATATTATTCATATGTTTTCCTACCCACATGTAGCTGATCATGATCTTGTTTGAAATGATCCACCTCAAATGGCAATCTAACCAGGTCCAGAATCAACATGTAACAGATTTGGAAGTTTTGAGCTGATTTCACTTCAGGGGATGGCTGTCATTTCCTCACATTGCCTCAGATGTTGTGTCACTCTGCGGCATTAAAGCGGGGAAATGGTGGTCGCCGGGTAGACTGCCATATTTTTGTGCTGGCTGCCATTTTGTTTTTCTCTCAATGACCTCAGCTGAAGCAAATGAGGCAAAATTGCAGCTGCTTACATTGAAACACGCACAACATTCCGCAAAAGTTCACCTAAGGCTTTCAAACCTTGCAGGCCCCAATCAAAGAAATGATGAGTGCAACTGCTGTCCAGAGCAAGAATTGTCAAATTTTCTGGGCTAGTGGGCACATTTTCAAATTCTGAGAATGTACCATGGGTGCCAATCGAATAATGACTGGGGCTGATGGAACTTGTAGTCTAAAACATATGGGAGGCTCCAATTGGTAAAGGCTGGTCTTGGGTATCCCATACCTTGCAAGTGTACCATAAAAACCTGGAGGAATAAGGTGACCATTTTTGACACCATTATATTGTGCAATTTCACACCAAGATCTTGCTCCCCCAAAAGCACCTTTCAGGGCTGTGATATTGCACGGCGCCCCAAAATGCATGGTTTTGGATGCCTCAAGAGCACTGTCCTGGAAAAAAGCATGTCTTTTGGGCTCCATGATCATGTGATTCACGAGGGAGCATGGACAGGAAGACTTGTGTCCTGGTTTTTTGACTCAACATTTTGGAGGGCATCCCTGTGGAAAGTTGATTTAAAAATACAAGATAAGGTCACGAGGGTTCATAATTAGGTGCACGTTGGAAGGTGCCTGGAACTTGATATCATACCAGCTAATCACATCTTCCTTTGTGATGCTTCTCATGGTAGTGGCTGTGAGGGTTTTTATATTGTCTCCTGCCATTGGAGAGAACTCATTTTACACAAGCCACATTATTTATAACCTGGCCTTTGCATCCCTTGCGAGGGAAAAGGACTCTCTTGTTTCATTTTGCATCCTTTAAAACTGGTGACTTTGCATCCTTTTAAAGTGGTGACTTTAGTAATATTTAAAGACACCAGCAATGTTTCAGTAAAAGCTGCTGAAGCATTGCTGGTGTGTTTAAATATTACTAAAGTCACCAATTAAAGAGGACCAAAGGAGGAGAAACTACAGTCATACCTTTTGTTGCATTAGGTTCATGTTGCGTCTTTTTGGCTTGCCAACGCGGCAAACCCAGAAGTGTATACTTCCAGGTTTCACTGTGCGTGCATGCACAGAAGCGTTCTGCGCACTTCGCACATGTGCAGAAGAGCTCTATTATGCCATGCGCGTGCACAGAAGCAGCGCTCTAGTTACGGACTTTTTGGGGTGCGAACGGCATCCTGGAAGGGATTGAGTCCGTAACAAGAGGTACCACTGTAATTTGAATAAACAAAGCACTGAATTGTCATTGCATATGGCAGATGGAGTTCCTTATAGGCCTTATGCTTCACTAACAGATGCTTGTTCTTCATATCTTTTGGACTAAGTCAGCGGGACATTTTACACCCAAAACAGGGAAACTAGTTTTTCTTAACTGTCATAACATCATATTAGATAGTCTAGAGCAGTTGGGGTGGGGTATTCTGAGCTTAGAAAGAAGACCACTGCTGCATGTCAGGAATATCCTGACCTTAATTTCTAAGACAAGAGGTGTTGGGGTACTGCAACAAATCTTTTGATGGCAGCTAAGATTTGCATATCAAGGCATGGGTGAGTGGGGGAGTAGGTAAAAGCAGAGAGAGAGAGAGAGAGAGGGAGAGAGAGAGAGAGAGAGAGAGAGAGAGAAACAATCAATTATCAGGCAGAGCTGGGAGTGGCCCCTGTCCCAAATTTCCACCAGCCAACTTAGGCAGTACTGACCTAAGTGGACCAGTGGTCTGTCTCAGTATAAGGCTGCTTCCTATGTTTCTGTGTGATCCAAGGAACAATTCTTCTAACACAATGGATCACATCTCAGCTGCGGCTATGGTGCAAGGCCCTGCCCATCTGCTGTTCCTTCAGATGCATCATCTGATCAGAGGGCTAATTGAATTTCCAGGGTGCAGCAGAAGCAGCAACCCATCCATGGATAGCCTTTTAAGGAGCAAGCGTACAATGCTTTTGCTACCCTCAGCTGTTATACAGTCAAAAATCTCAAAACCGTTTCCAAACACGGCGGCCAATTCCGAGCGTTAATAGCTCAAAGACTATAATTTACTACAACCTCCCACTTGTACAGCTGGTTACATTTGGGCTCCTGATCAAGTCTCAACTAAACAGACTGTGTGTCTTGACTTTGTATGTGAATGAGGGAGCATGAAGCATCGTGTATAGGGGGAGAGCCTCAGTCACCATATGGGGTGGGGACATAGCTGTCAACCGTCTCTTATTTGGCGGGAAACTCCCTTATCCCAGCGCTGTGTCCCGCTGCTGTCCCTTACTGATGATGTCCCTTAAATCTCCCAGGTTTCAAAGGAAGCAGCTCCTCGCCCTCCCTCCCTGCCGGCCAGGGAGGAGGGAGGCTCCAACTGTGTTGCTTGACTGCATTGCTCACCCAATAAGGAGTCTAAGAACGACTGGGGGGTGGAGCTTCCATGCCTTGTGCTGATCAAATCAGCCGTGTTGCCTGGGGACTCGCCTTTGCTCAGTGCTTCCCAGCAGAGAGGTGACGGTGGTTTTCCTTGCTGCATCCCCTTTGCCGGGTTGATGCGCTGTGGGAACCACCGCTTGAGGCTTCGTTTGGCTGCTGGCTGGGCTTTCTGCCTTTGGCTTGGAGGGGCTCGGAAGTTGAACATACCTGTGCCCTGAAAATCCCTTATTTTGGCTGCTGATCCCTTATTTTCGAGGCTGCTGGTCCCTTATTTTCGAGGCTGCTGGTCCCTTATTTTCAAATCTGTAAGTTGACAGCTATGGGTGGGGACATTGGCGTCTTCCTCCCCAGATGTTGTGAGCTGTTGAGTGTACTACAACTATTGATTCTTCCTCCTTCCCATCAGGCCTTGGTGCAGTCTGCATGGCACACCATCTGAATGTCTGTTGCCTCCTCCCACATACCATCTCGATAACCTAACCCTGTGGGCATCACATTGGTAACCCCTGACCTATACAATAAAAAGTAAATCCAAAACAAACAAACAAAACAAACAAAAGAGCAAGAGAATAAATGGGTTTTTCAGCATGCACTGAAATGCCATCGATCTGGGCACCTGCCATAGCTCAGAGGGGGGGTGTTTCCACAACAGAAAAGGCCCTTCCCACTGGCTGCTACAATATGAACTTCTGCCACACTATCTGACCTCAGTAATTGGGAAGAATGATATAGAAGGTGTTCTTTGAGATAGCCTGGCCTCAAGTTCCTTAGGTCTTTGTAGGCCCTGGTAGCATATTGGCAGCTAGGGAAGCTCTTTTAAAAAGAGGCATTATCAAGGCCTGCCCAAGACATTTCAATGCCTGAGGCAGAGCAGCAAATGATGCAATCTCCTCCTTCCTTACCAGTAAAAGTGTACAGTACCCAAGGCCAGCCAAGCTATTTTTTGAGACAGAAAATTCCACAGGTATCTCTTACCATTCTTGGCAGTAAATAATACTGTAACACCAAACTATATACAGTAACCAATGATTCGTTTCCTTTTCAAGACCCTCAGTATTGATACAGGCAGCTCAATCTGCCAAATAGTAGGGCCGGCCCTTATCATTACATGTGCACAATAAGTTGGTAGTTTAGGTAGCCTAGGAAGTTTGTGGCTGAGGTGAGGTTTGAATCGGGAGTTTCCCAGCCAGCTCAACTAGCGATGTTGGAGAAAACCGACAGAAGGGGATGTGGAAATTGCTGCAGTTCATGTGTTCATCTGTGGTCAGCAATGGAAATCAGTCAAGCGAATACATATCATCTACATCACTGTCGTTTAAGTCTGCAAATGGTACATAATTAAGGACTCTTCTTAACATTGTTTTGATGTCTCCATGACGCTGAAATGAATGTAGGTTACGTAAGTTTCATAAATAGTTATTTGACACATGTTACTTAGGTTAAATAGCAAATAGTGAGATGAATAACATAGCATTGCGAGGGGGACCAAACTGCAGAGGAAAGGAAACAGTGCTGATTGTGATAAATGCAGGCTGAAATTGCTGCCTTTTAACACCCCCTATCTCACTCTCAAAAGGGTGGGATTCAACTAAGGTTTACTGAGAGTAGACACATTGAAATTTATGCACATGGCTAAGTTAGGTCCATTAATTGCAGTGGATCTACTTTGAGTAAAACTTAGCTGAATCCCACCCACAGTTACCATGTGCCACCAGCTTTTGAATAGGAACACAGAGTGTCAGCAGTGCAGCAGCCCCTGGAGCGTTGCTGCAATCCACAAGCCAGAATTTTTTTTTGTTCCCTCTTGATGTATTAAGAATGCCAGAGATCCCAGTAGAAAGTCAGATGCTAAGAGAGACACAGACCGATTCACGCTCGCACATTCTCCCCTCTGAACCTCCTGCAAAGTCTTCACGCACTAATGCGTGGGCGCCCGTGACCTTTCTGGCAGCAGCTGGGAATACTAATGTGTTCTCTGGTACTGTGCGGTGGAGAATGGACACTAAATAGAGGGCCACAGTGGAAATTAGGGCTCTGTGCCAACAAAATCCATCATGGTTGATGCGATTATAGCGGAGAAACCAAAGGAGGTAATTATGATTTATCCTGGGCTGGGAGACATTTTTGCTGGCTGGATTCGGGTCACATCGTTCACCTCTGACCATTTTGGAGGATGCTGATATGGAATGGGCGAGAGGAGTTGTCTGCAGATGCTCTCAACCCAACACCCACCTTCAACATTGTTTATAACCCCTGAGGAAGGACAAGAGAAGGGAGAGAGAGGCTGCAGACTGCACAGACCCTAATTAACAACAGTTCACTTCCCAAAAGCAGCACAAGGGCAATTTCCACAGTGAAATCACCATAACCCACTGCAGCCATGCATGGACAATAGCTTTTCAGAGCATGAAGTTGCTATGCTAAGACCACCATTGCCCACAAATTTAGGGATGGGTGAACCTGTCAGTATCAGTTCCTTGTGCTTTCCCCCCACTGTTAAGTTCAGAAATCTGTGTTTTCATATCAGCCTGAGATTTTTTTTTTTAAAGCCTCATGAAAATTCATCGGCATTTTAGCGCAGATTCAGCCTAACATGCACATTTTCTATGCAAGTTGGCCTAATGTACCCATTTTTATTTTTGCAAAGCACTTTCCCCTAATATGATGCATTATTGTAAGTTGCTTTCATGAATATATTCACTTTACCCTAGCATATGCATGTTTGCTCACATTACTCGACCAGAGATCTACATTGCAAAAGTCAGAGAAGTGTGAATTTTTGAGGGTGTCTGTGTTTTAGTTTGCATGTTTTTTTTCAGAAAGTGTGGATTTAGTAGGTTCACCCTTAAATTATGTAAACTGAATTGAATTTTCCCTCTATCCCTGCCAGGATTCAGTCAGTTGCCTTTATTCCATCGTCCTGCTCCAATCTCCAGTCAAACAGGCTTTATGGGAGACCACAAACAAGTACAAAAACAAAAGAGCAAACCGGTAGCAGAGGTGGCAGCCTTCACCTCATTCCGTGCAGTGTGCCTGGAGGCGACAGGGCTGTCTAATCTTTTCCACGGCCATTTGCAGCTCTGTTTTCAATCAGCACAGCGTGAGTGGCACTTTCTAGCCGCTCTAAAGTGGCTATTCTCAGCTAAAGCCGGAAATGAATGAAAAGGCAGCCCATTTGGACCACTTTGCGGAAATTCTTTGAGGGGTGCAGATTCCGGCCTGTCTGACCTGCCTGTTGGTCCAGGAGGTGTGGATGAGGTGAGTTTGCATTAAAAACTCAAACAGATTGAATTGCTTCTCCATCTCTGAGAGAGAGGACTTCCTGGGATAAACTCAGCCTGACTCCTGAGACTCTTGTCTCCCCATACGGCCTTCATTCAGCAATTGTTGTTTGGTAAAGCTTTGCCTTCTTCAAGGAAAGCCTTTCTCGCCTGCCCTCCTTTTTCTGGATTTGCCCTGATGCTAAGGACTCTAACCTCTCCTCCCACGCCAATGCTTTCCCACAGATCATAAGAAAGGGGGAAAGCATAACTTGCTTCCTCTCTCTTT